CAGTACCAATAGGTTTCTTTTGAAAGAGTAAAGCCTAAGTTGAAAAGATAGGCAGAGGACGGAAGGAGAAAAACAAGAAAATTCCTGTTTTGCAAATGGATAGTATAACCTCTGAAACACCATACTTACAACACTTAAAAATTAAGGGTAATTCTTTAAAGTTAGTCAGTTAAAAAATCTCTCTACAGACAACCAAAACAAGTAGAGTTTGCTACATTCAGATCTTAAGTGAAAAAGACAACGTAAGGCAAAGGGGATCCTAATCTCCGCACTTCAGCTAAGTTCCTGAAGTGTGATGGGATGACTTTTGCCCTAAGAGATTAGCTGAATTGGTCTCACACAGGAAATCTATGGCAGAGCCAGGAAGCAAGTTTACTGCAGAGTGTTATTTCTAAGACAGGATCCCATAAAATCAGTAGCCATCCATAGCCAGGAGATGACCTGTCCTCTGCTGTGTTCACTGTTTCTCTATGGAGTTTTATTTTCAGGGGAAGTGATTATAGCCTACTCTGTAAGACCTCATTCCTCATTTTATAAATGTTCAAATCTTAATAAGAGTACAATTATGAGTAAGGAGGTTTTAAATGAACCAAGTTTGTGCCAAGTAAATGAAGGAATCTTTGAAGTGATCCCACCTTTGATTTATGTACTGACTAAACCTTGAGTTTCAATCTAGATTTCCTCAGCAAATCTCTTAAATCAAAAGTTTCATTGCCCTGCAGTTCAGGAATTAATCTGACTGTGAGACTAAGGGGAAAAATATTGTACCGCAGAACAGTAAACTGCTGTAACTCTGAAGTTACACTTGAACTAAGAAAAAACATGCTTTGCGTTATTAGCATGATAGGGCTTTAGCCAGCCCACAGTTTCCTTCCGACTCTTGGCCTGCACCCTTATTCTTGGAGAGGTTTCTGATTTGGGCCACATGTTCACTGAAATGTGTCCTCTCTTCAGGGCTGGAGTCACCAACTCCAATCAGCCTAACAGGGATGACAGAGCAGTGTTTTAGATTGATCTTCGCCAAATATTATTGATACGTTGTGTTTCATAATTATTTTGGATATTCCTTCTCATTGCAGTAGAGATGTGTTTTGCCTCTTCAGCCACACAGCGCTGACATCTCAGGTATAATGCTTCTTAGAGAGTCACAAAGTGGCCTTTGGTCTCTTTTCCTTCATGAACCCAATTTAGCAGAGAACTTATACAAACACAAAAAATGGTCCCTTGTCAACAAACTACATTAGGCAAGCTGTGCTTGATCTCAGGGCAGTAGACCTGAGTAGTGAGCCCCGTGCTGAGGGCTGCAGACTAATGAGCTCTGTTTGAGTCGATTGCAGTGACTCAAAGTGAGAGTGTTGAGTTTGAGCTCCTTCTGGCAGAGGAAGGGCTAGGGGCCCAGTCTTCCTTTGCCTGGCAGAGTGCCCTGACCACTAGGGTAGCATGCAGAACATGATCAATGCTGTTTGGAGAATGGGTCAGAAAGAGCATCACAGGAGTGAATTACACTCCTAAATCCAGCCAAAAGTTTCAAACCTTAAATCTTAGTCATGTTCATCCAGGATAGTGAAGATTTCAAACACAGTTACTCTCTTGGGGCCCTCGGTGTGTTGCGGTTGTCTCCAGCTCTTTTATGAAACCATTTTTCCTATCCTTGCTTTGTGAAGTCTTCTTCCAGAGCTGGGCTCTCCAGTGTCTGGCTGAATCTGACACTCTACTGCCTCAGGAACTCATGAGCAAAATGATGGTGATAACATTTACAAACTAATCACTCACTAAGATGAAGATAACCATGTAGGAATCAAAGACTTGTATCATTCAGAAAATGAATGAAGTTATTTTAAATTAACTATTAAAGTCTCTTCAATTAATATAGCTGTTCAATAAGTCTTGCAAAATACTTCAATAATTAGCTGTGCCAGTCTTGATATCTGTAGGAAATGGCAAGAAATGTTATGATGTGTATGACTAGACCATTACTTGCCATTAATTCTAACCAACAGAATTTTTAAAATACATTTTATAAAATTAAACAGTTTATATTTAAGAATAAAACCAACTTGCTTCCATCAGATCCAAGGTGAGCTGAGGGGAGACACAGGATTATTTCCAAGGGAGGCAAAGGAGTGGTATGTTCAGTGAACCAGATGTCCTGTGCTGGGGCTGGTGGAGGAGAGGGATTTCGGCAGAGGAGAGGCAGGCAGGTGCAGGAGGAAGGAAGGCTCTCTGTAGGAAGCTCTGACCAGCCAGGGCCAGCCTGACCGATGCATGGGTGTAAGATATCTAAAGAGTAGTAAGATATCTAAATCAGTGGTCAAACTGAAAAAAATGTTTTGTGCCATTCACTTATTGGAATAAATGCTGAAGATATCAAAGGAACATAGTAATCTCTCTGGACTATGGTATCGCACTATAGACATAAGCCAAGCTTCTCTCTGATTTATTAAATTCTGCTCTTCTGTGAGCAGAGATTCTCTTAAGCATTCACTGTTCCTTGACACTCTTTCTCTTAGGAGTGTCTAAATGCAATCAGATTTCTTTTCAAGCCTTCTCATCTACAACCTGCCATCTTCCAAACTGGTCAGTGTCTTCAGTTATTACTGTGAGAGACGCTATATAAGAAGATTGAAATGAATAAGAAAAAAAAAAAAAAAGATGATGGCTAGAGCAGTTGGAACAATTGTGACATACCAAGTGCTTAAGGTTAACAGCAGCTTTATATTCACAACTCCGTTGTGCAGTGGCTTGTTACGCTGCATACTGTTTGTGTGCTATTAATGTTACATACATTGCCTAGATGAATGAATGTTGTTATACAGTGTTTATTCTCTCTCAACTTATAAGTCCCTGGATATAAGTTTTCATGACAAATGAGAACATGCTTGAATGACACAAAAACAGAGTTTTCTTTAAAATATATTTGCACCCATTTCCTTATGTTTTAGTAGTAGCAAGTATATGATTGATTAGACGACTGTTTCAAATGCTTTATTTTCCCATGTGCAAATTCAGAGTTATTAATTATAATGTATTTAAGGGTCACAGAGGAGTAGGGGAGAACCTTGGCTGCATTAGCCAGTAATATCTGTTGAAGCTGCAGGCTCAAGCTGAGCTTGCAGCTCTGGTGTCTGTAATGGCTTCTGTTTGAGGAGTCAGGAATAACTGTCTCCAATTTGAAAAATATGGGAAATTTTAAAGTGCTCTTGCCTCATTTATATATATGTGTATATGTATACATACACACACTTAAAATTGAATCCATGCCCTGTATACCTACAGGAAGCACCTTGTATATGAAACTGCAGCATGGAGGTAATTGCAGAGGACTTGAAAGCTCAGCTTTTGACAGAAAAGTTCTTTCTGTGTCTTTTTCTGTCATCCTTGCCTATGGCAAGGGGGTTGGAACTAGATGACCTTTGAGGTACCTTCCAACCCAGGCCATTCTATTATTCTTTTTTTCTCAGGAATCAGAAACATGGTGGTCCTAGAGAGCCATGGTGGGACTGCCTTGCCTTGGCAGATCTCATTGTCTATCTGGGGGAACCAAAGTCCAGCCACACCTCTCCATCTGCAGCTCTGACTGCAGATACTGGCATGCTCCAGCTCATTTAGCTGGATGGGTCTCCTCAGTTGAGGTGATCGACCTGTCTGTAGTCTTGTTTCATTGCTCCTGCTCCTTGGTTTTGTCTTTTCTGCACTCAGCCTCAGATTAAAACCAGCAGGGAGAGTGAAAGGCGTTCAGTGACCATTTTTTTTAGAACAGAATGAGTTGTGCTACACTTCAATGTGTGGAACAGGACCTTAAACAATCATCTGAAGATAAATACATCATCAATGGAGATGAGAGACTTGTACCAGGCTACTTTCTTATTTTGGCCTTCTTTGGTTTCTTTCTGAGCAACAGAAAAAGACTAGTGGAAGCCAACGAGCCCCAATTCAGCCAAGCGTGCTCTGGACTTGCATAAGTCCCTCTGATTCACTGGTGTGTGGATGCTGGATGGAGGGAAGAGTCTGCATTGGGCTGAGTCACTGTCCTCAGCAGACCTGGTCCTTTCTGCAGAGACAATTGGCTTCATCACAGATCTGAGCACTGGGGTGTTCTTACATGATAGGTGTTCAGGTCTGTGTCTGTTCTAGCAGTTTATTTCTTATTACATTAATGGCATAGTTTTGTATAAATAAACAAAGTCTTAGTTTCCTGGGAAAAATGATGCTTACATAGCACTTACAGTTCTCAAAGAACTTCTGTTCGATCTCCACACTAATGTGGTTTCGCAAGAAGACTGAGATTATTTTATTGCCCCAGGATGCCAGGAAATTTTCATTTGACTTCCTCAGATCTCTAGGATAAAAGTGGGACAGTAAAGAAAAGAATTCCCTTTGCTGTCTTAGATTTCTGTCCTTCAGGAAAATATGTTATGTTTTCTAAGATCTGATATTCTGTAGTTTATTTTTAACTTAGTGACAGTATTATTTTACTTTTTTTTTTTTTCTTTTTCTTTTTTTTTTTTTTTTTTCACAGAGGAATATCTTGCCCTCTGCTGCTTCCTGTTCCTGGCCTTTCTTTATAGGCTTCTCTTTTTGTGCAGAGTGTAGATAATTCTTTTCACACTTCACTGGTTTTATTCAATGTACATTTCCTAGAGTCGTGTGCAAGGTTTGGTGCTGAAAATGTCATGCCATGGCACACTGTTAGATATCATGAGCACTTAATGAGGAACCACACATCTTCAAAATACAAAATCCCAAAACTCCCAAAGCAAATCCAAGCCCATCCTTTTAACCCAATGTGAATTTCAAGAGCAACTCCCTCCAAAAGTTTTTTTTTTTTGTTTGTTTTTGTTTGTTTGTTTTGTTTGTTTTGTTTTTAATCATTTTCAGCAAAACCAGGCTCAAGTGGGACAGAGAGAGCCAGGCATACCTGATTGCAGCCAAGTTTTCCTCAGCATCACAGGAGCATTTATGGCATTTGCTGTGGGAATAAAAGGCAGTGGGGAGCTATTTCTCATGCCTTTTACTGCTCTTCCAGCCACAGAGGATGCTCTTTGCCACTTTGACACTATGATCCACAAGGAGCAAGGGCAGCAAGTGTAGGAGCATTTCCATCAGAAGGATGATGGAGGCAGGATGCATCACCGCTTACTGGCTCAGGCCATTTTAAGGTGGCATTGTATTGCTGAGATGATATAAAGTAGTCTTGGAGAAACTGGCTATCAGGCTTACCAACACTTGCTTTCTTTTTCTGTTTCAGAAAAAAACAACAGAGAAACAAACAAACAAAAAACAGCATACTATTAAAGCAGGGCATGTGTTTCGGAGGTGGCTTGGGAGATGAGATGAGATACTGAACCTAGAGTTTGAAGCTTGGTTGTGGGTTACTGTGATCCGGCATATAACTTTCAGGAACTGCGTGGGTCACCAACATGAAAATACCTCCCCTTTTTTCTTCAGCTAATCTGCATTAAAACAAAGGTTATATTGTTCTAAGTACTATCTCATGTCAACAATTACTGGGGTAAGTCAGTGTTTGTTCCATTATTGCTTAATCTGGGCAAAAACTGTATTTAGCTAGAGAAACGTCTTCTTACTTGGCAAGATTCTGGATCTCTGTGTACCCTTCTCCTAATTATCAGTTCTTTATTGAGATCTTCGCAGACAAATCTCCTGTATTTTCAGAGGCAAACACTGAGGGCAGCTGGCTGCAGGGAGCAGTGTGTGGGTGAGGTGATGGTTTCTGCTTGTTTGTTTGCTTTATTTGCTGTTTTTGTTTTATTTTTGTTTTGGAGGGTGGCGTGGCTGAAATGCTGAGGAGCAAGAGTCTGTCTTGTGTCTGTTCCTATCCACTGAGAAATGCACAGAAGTAATTGGCACGAGGTTAACAGAAATAGTCGTGGTTGTCCTTAATTCCCTTCAAAGGATAATCAATTTGCCATTGTCCCCATCAGGCCCAGAGTTAGCTCAGCGAGGAGGGTTTCTGACAGTCCTGCTTACAGGCTCCAGACAGAGGCTTTCAACTTAATACAGCCAAAAAGGCTTGCAGGTCAGTTTCTTTTACAAAAACACACTTTTTGTTGACTTAAACATTCTCCTGCAGCTACGCTTTGCTCCTGTGTGGTCACTTACCTTGTGTCCTAGCCCCAGCCAGAACAAATGATGTATGGCGAGCTCAGAAGAGAAACACTGTTCCCTACGACATGCCAGAGCCTTCCCCACGTGGCTCCTGCGACGGCATGGTGAGGCAGATGAAATCTCTGGGACACAAACCCGTCTTTCTCAGTGCTGGTTCTACGTCGTTAGGTTTCCTCCCATTTCAAACATCCATGTCTGTTAACATAGTAATACACTGACTTGACGTCTGGACTTTGGCAAAAGGCATGCGAGACCAACATCTTGGGAAGGGAATAGGAAGGCATGTATGTGAGTCATGCACTCTCTTTTTACTTTTTTTTTTTTTTTTTTTTTTTTGCTTGGATTTTGTTTTTCCACCTTTTGTATGGTCTATTTTCTTCATATATCTGGTGGGTTATTTACAGATAAAAACTAAACTGTAATACTAAAAATTCTGTCTCTGTTTTCACAAGCCTTTTGGTGGCTAAATTGCACATGAAATGGAAATCCCAACTTTTGCCCTTGTAATAACATATCTGAAATCCATGTCAGACACTAACTCCTTCAGATTTTATTCTTCTGCATACCCCTCATTTGTACACAGAAATGTCTGGATCATCTCCTGTCTCCATCCAGATTTAGTAGCAGAGTGCTGCAGTGGGACTTCTCACTGTAATACTGAGCCTTCCTGCACATATTCTGTTCTATTGATTTCACTGACATCTCATTAAAAGTTATTTTCATTCCTCTGTTTTTAAGAAATGTTAATAGCGTATTAGTTTGGTGCTGCTGAAGGGACTCTACACAAAAACCTTTGACAGTAAGATTGATAGACCTTAATATATTACTTACCAAACTCTTTAAAGATAATATTACTTTTCAAAGAACTAGACTTCTTCCAAGCAGCATCTTTTGCCCAGCCATCTTGTTATACAAACATGTCTGTGGCTTTGAAATGGAAATAATTTATTCTAAATAGCTATATTTTGATTTCCCTGGGCCCCATAAGATACGTCCTTCAATTCTTATGAGGGGGTTGAGTTCAGTATCTTGCATTTCTCATGCACTGAGTTACAGTCTGATATGGTTTTCCTTTTTTTTTTTTTTTTAACTTAGAAAACATGAAGTATTTCACTGTACAAATGAAAGAGGTATCAAGCAGATACAGTACTAAGTAGAAAAAAACCTCTTGTCAGAAAGCAATCAGTTATCTCCTTAATACTTTATATATATACATATATATAACAATCTCAAAATATTTTGACAATCAAATTCTGTGGTTTGAAGGTGACAGACAAAAGATCTTTCCTATGCCAGATGAACTTCCATCACAGAAGGCTAAAATCTTAGTCAGGTTATAGTATTAAGTATTACATTACTTTCTCATGTTAACGTTTGTTCAGACATATGTTCTTTTCTTTCAAATCTTGTCGGACTTCGTATGCCGTTTTTATAAGACAGCCTTGACTCTGCACTAAACCATGCCACTAACACGTTACTTAATCTAACTGGCACATTGTAAAATTTTACACATGCGCTCATCCAGATAATTACACAATTAATTTTCACTTAGTACAGCTGAAACGGGGATAATGAAATTTCCACTGGTGTACTGTTACGTCCGGGGGTTAGGGGTCAGCTTCCTGTTTGGATAAGGGTGAGTTTAAAGAGGATTTCTGACAGTCTCCTTACTTCAACTGAGTCTAAAAACATTGCAATGGAATTTCAATTTACAGCTAAGTTCAATGGAAGGAGCAGATGTTGGGAGTGTGCCACTACCATTCTGGGAGTGCTTTCTACGCAGGTGTAGACAAAAGTCAATGTCCTCCATCCTACTCTTTATATGTAGACAGTGCTAAGCTGACACTTGATATTAATTTCTGCACTGAACTGTAGCTGCTCAGTGCTTTGCAGAACTATCCCCAGCCTGAACAGTTATGGAAAGTCTTCCTGTGTTGTATTTTTTTTTTTTTTTTTTTTTTGCATTTTCAAAGAAGTCTTCTACACAGAACACAAAAGTGGGGCTTGTCCCTCCAGGTCTGTGTGTTAGGGAAGTCCACACAATAAAAGGGAACCAGAAAGAACTGAGATGAGCTCCCACATCTTTAACAAGACCCCAGCTTTGGCATCAAAACATACAGTGGTATATAAAACCAACAACATTTTTATATTAAAATGCAAACTTTGTGACTTTAAAATTGTAGTGTTTCTGATGGCTTCTTTCCTAAGTTGGAATAAGAAGTATAATGTATGGCTTGAAATTTCTATGCATGCAAATTTGCTCACACTTCTTACTCTGTAGTTGTCCCCAAAATACTTGCTCCTATCTGCAGAGCTTTACTTTTTTATTCTGGCCATTCCAGACAGCTCACCTTAGCTGGGAGTTAGAGAAGGCAGGTGCTGAAACTCCCAAACATGCAGTTTTTGTTTTAGTAAAATGTCCTTATTTCAACCCACAAATTCTCATACTTTTACTTTCTGATTCTCTGCCCCATCTCACCTGGGCAGAATGAGCGAGCAGCTGGGTGGTGCTGAGCTGCCTGCTGGGGCTAAACCACAACACACCAGCCAGCCTGGGGTAGCTCGCTCTGCCTCAGTGCCAACCTGAAACCAGGCCTTCCTGACTTGGAGCCAGATGAAGGCAACGTCAACATTTCCATCCATGGCATGACCTACAGGATTAGGTCCTAAGAGGTGAACACGCTGTCAGCTGGTAATAAATAGATAATATGTCAGAGCACATCTCTAGTGAACAACAACTTGTCATACGTATTTCTGTGGTGCTACTAGGCCTTGATCACAGGCTGGGACTTCACCATCCCAGAATAATGTGGAACAAAAGGATTACTTGCAGGAGAGACAGATGTTTGTGTAGTCAATTATTCTGTGCATTTCTTCTCTCTCTTTCTGCCCAGCTTCTTCAGTGCTTTTTATATCATGCAGATCAGAAAGCATTAGCACTTGTTATAGTAGGCCTTGTTGTTTCTTCATTCTCTTCTTTCATTCTCTTTTAACCTCCCTCAAGATTTTTAAACTCATTTAGAAGTCCTGCTTTATTCAAAACTTGAAGTTTCATGCTGTTTTCCTCTATTTCAGTCTCTTTGATGCCTTAAACATACTTCACATGTTTTTAAGGCATCAAAGTGTCTTAAATTATATGCTCTCCTTCCTCAAGTAGCTAAAGATGTAACTAATAAAATCCCTCCTCTGCAGACCACACCTTATGTTATCAGTGCCCAGAGACCAGCCTCAGACACCTGGAGCTACAGATGGATGCACTATATAACCCTGACCATCAGACCTGTCTACACATTTATGAAGAAAGGTGGAAACCCTCCAACACAGATATTTCAAAAGAAGAATAACAATTCAGTTTTACTGATCCATTGGGAAAAAAAGACACATGAACTGAGTTTACTAAAGATCCATAGACAGTCTTTGCATCTCCTTTCAACATCAAGGGTTATCCTGACAGCAAAGGGCATGTATATGCTTTACAAAAGGAAGGAGATGATATACTGCACTATAGACATTGCTGTTTGTTGGTAATTTTGTCTCAGAAGTCAAAGCACCAAGTGACATTTGTATGTATGACATTAATCGTGTGACTATGCATACACATATGTACCTTCAAACAAATAAAAGCAACATGTTTATTATTAGAAGTTTTGTGTTATTTTTAAACTTAATTGTATTACAACCTCAAAGAGCAGAAATTGTATTTCTAGACTAGTAGTTAAATGTAAAAAAAATACACCATAGATAGAAAACGTGTGCATTAAGGAAAAATCCAGAAACACTTCTATTTCATTTTGAAATTTGACCAGCCGTAGCAGCACCACCACCTTTGTTCCAACAGTGAAAAGTAAAGTAAAAGTAAAATTATACAAGACTAAATCATTACTTTAATATACTTCTGATAATAAAATTTTTCTTCCCTATTTAGCAGCAGCTTTCCCACTCTCAGTATGCATTTTTCAAAATATCACAGTGTCTGTGACCATATGTAACTAGAAAGTTGCAGAGCTTACTGCAACATTGAACACTGGGTGTGAGTAAGCCCCCTGGGTTGCTGCAGCACTGCAATGCACTGCAGTCACCTCTATGCAAGCAGGGATGCCCTTGGTGAAGCGGCAGCTAAAAGCACATATTCTATTTGAGTTCTCTGAGTAACCTTCATCCCTTCAGAAATTTTCATGTTAATAAACAATGTTTTGGCTTACTCTGTACCGTTTCTGTTTGTATCATTGCTGTCTGTGAAATGATGTGAAATAGAGGGTCATTTCCATTTTAATTTATTTTATAATGTCTGCCCAGCCATCTCTCTAGCTTCCCAGGTTGCATGGAATTGGCAGCGTATAGCCACGACAATCTTCTGCAGCAAATGGTGGTTCAGTGCACGCTCAGCGTGGGAGTCAGAAACTCACTTTAAAACCAAGTTAGTGGGGAAAGATACACTGGACAGAAAGGGAATTGTTCCCTCTTAGGACAATTAGCTAAAATAAAGAAAGGATTGTCCTCTGGAGTCTACTGTTGATGAAAGGGAGGGCCCAAAACAGTTCTTGCTGGTAGCCTAACCATAGATGGCTGACTTCCAGTGAGACGTATTCCACTGTTACAAGTCTATTGTTTTTGTTGTTGTTGTTGTTTTGTTTTAAAGTCTTATCTTCTGAGTTTCACTAGCTTCTCCCCATGGTGCAGGCTAGCAGGCTCCTTAACAGTCTGTGCAGAGATTTTGTCTGCATTCTCACTTCAGGAAATGATCTTTTGTTCGAAGCTGCCACACTGCACACATCGTTTTAAAAGGCAAAACGGGCTGCTGCTTTTCTGCCATTTGTGCAGCAGGTATCTTGTCCTTCCAAGGGCTTTTTAACATTTCTTGCTTTCAGTACAGGGAGGTCCTATGCACAGCTGCAGGTTAATGGTATCTGTAACAAATTGCTATCTATTTTAACAGGTGCTCCTCCTGTTGCTCTGCTCCTCCAGAGCCCATTCCCTTCCTTTCTCAAGCATTTAGGAGATGTGCTGATAAAGGTACAGTCTTTTGCTAAGCAGACTATGCAGTGAAGACAAATTGTGTGATAATAATAAAAAGAGTAGTTATGCATTCACTGAGACTACTTCACTCACCACAAATTGCCTGCGTTTGTTTATGTCTCCCTTTTTGGTTAAAAATACATCTTTTTTATTTTTTCTCTCCATTTGCCCAGATTTTTAGTCTGTTATTCCTGGCATTCTGATGTCTCGTTATTTCTCCTCAGCTTTAATATTTATTTTTTTATTTTATTTTTGAGGAAGTGGAGGTGCTTTTCTCCTCTCTTCTCTCCTTTGGCCTGACAGTCCTGGAGCAGGTCTATGTGTGAAATTCTCCAAAATCTCATTGATGACATCAGTGCTGGCAACTTCATTTCCTTCCCAAAGCCTAGAATAAGCTTTGGCTTTCTCTTTGGTATTTTTAAGAAACCTATTAGGTAATGAAATTCACATTTACTATCTACAGACAGTCATGGTCTATATCGTGGCATTTAGCCAGTGTCTGTCATGGAAGGGTAGAATAAAGCTTCTTCCGTGGTAGAGTTATATTTGCAGGAGCACCCTGTGCTCTTCAGGCCCATGATATGCCGGTGGGGAGAATGGAGAAGTTGGAATGTAGCAGCAAGAAGTGGGAGAGGAAATGTCACCCTGGGGCTCTACAAAGTCTCAGTCTCCAGAGCAGAATGGCAATTTTCCCTGTAACATCATGAATAATTGTGGGGGGATGATTGTTCCCCTTAGTGCACAACGCAGTCTAATTATATTCTTAATACTGCAAATGCTTAAAGTACACTGTGTAGTGTTGTGTTTTTTGTTTTTTTTTTTTTTGTTTTGTTTTTAGCTTTCTGATGAAAGAAAAGCACTAAAAATGCTCTGCTCTGAGGAATTACCACAACATATTTTTGATGTTGTAGCGAGTTTCTTCCCCTCTTTATTTAAACAAATTTTGATTAGGAGAAAAGGAACATGAGAGCTT